AAAACATTCCATGTAAAGTAACGTAACAAATTAACAATAACAAAATAGATAGATATTAACTATTTTACTTCTCTTGCCTGCTGCCATTTAGTTGATCAAACCTGAGAATTTGAAAAAGAACTGTAAAGTGTGAAGTACTTAAGTAAGACAATGTTAGTAACATAGATAATAAATTACCGACAAGACTGTCAAACTTTGTAACGAACAGTTGGTAAAACTTTTGTATCTAGATACGGATCGTATCGACTACAATGATGATATACGCACCCCTAATTACAACATTAAAAACACAGTTTTTACAGTATTGGGTTGTCACTAACAGATTTTTGACAGTGAAATTGTTAAAGGAAAAATACACAAACAACTTTACGTGAATTGTTAGATAAAAACTATACTAGTTTGGACCTATATTCTCCACTACACACATATAGCAAATCAAACGACCTAGAATGATAAACCTTTTTTTAAACTCCTTGTCATCTGACATAAATTTCGGCAATGAAAGTAAGATGTAGGTAAAAATTAATTACTTCAAACCATTTTACAAATGTTTTAACTCGCAGAGTAAAGCTGTGTTTGTTGACGTACAAACATATACCTTGGTAGCTCCAGATAGGACTAACATAAGCAAGAAAATTATAAGTTATATAAGATCTCATACGTACGTCCCACATGAAAGAACCAGCAATCATAAATGAATCGTGTTGTTGCATTTATCTGAGGGATCGTACATAACGTTCGTGACGTGATATTCTTGTTACAAGATGAAATTTTTGATAATATGGTCAGAATAATGTCATAAAATGTAGAAAAGTGCCTGTCGCAAATGTTTTGGCCAGTTTTGTACGTCATATTTTGAACTGAATAGACATCCTTCACTTTTGGGATTACGATCCATTTCAAATATCATAAACGGCATTCCACTTTTAACATTATTCATGTGAATCCGTTCTCTGTGGCCCGTTCTGCTTTATATATTTGCATATTGTTATTCTAGTGCCATAGTTTATTGGATTCCGCCTAGAAAAACGACTTTTTCTGAGAACATTGTTTGAAATGGTCTCCAATATAGTGCAAGGCTTAGCGCTAGATCAATCCTGCCTTCCCATGGCTGTATTTACAATCTTTGAAAGAGTTTCAAATGGTATTCAACATATTTAAAATAAGTTTACAGATATTTTTTATCTTAAATATCACCGTAGAACGACACTCGGACTATTTGATAGAGTGAAAATAACAAGTTTGTTAACAGGTTATCATACGACAGGATAATATAATTATATGTGAAGGGTTTTTCAAATAATAAAAGCTATTTCGAAACAACTTTACAATGCGGGTTCATTAGGTATGGTATTTAATATTGTTACGTCTCTGGTCGTTAGTTAATTTTCGTAAAAATTCTTTCCGAAGTAACTTTACCGATACAAGTCATTT